ATATTTATCTGAATCTGCATTGAACATGCAGAAGAGTTTGTGAGCTAAATCCTCACCTGAGAATCTACACAGTTGTATCACCAAAATCCGCAGAGGAGTAGTATTCTTTCATATCAGCAAGCAAGGACGTAAGCCAGTGCCTTGGCTAAGAAATGGGGAGCACAAGAGATATAAAGAGTTCACAGAATTTTTTCCAGGGTGTCCCAAAGGTAATTAAATGATACTTCTAAAAGATAAGGAAGTTGTCACATTTATTAAATTACCAGGTGTAGATGTGTATAGATGTGTCTTAAAAGAAAGCTAGATAACGTCAATATGTGAAAGGACAAGAAAAGGCTTTCTGTATATAACTATTTTTCTGAAGGCAACACTGCAATATTGATAAGAAGGAGGTAAATAGGGAACAAATGTTCAAAATATGTCTAAGTGGTTTGGATACCTACCTCTCAAGACTTTCAATGATTTTTAGGTATCTAATCCATCTACAGATTTTGTAATGCCATTAAGTACCTGTCTTGAGCTGCTTCAGCACCTCTAAAAATCTAATCGTCTGCCCTTATGAAATATATTTATTCAGTTTATGCTTGTGTCCATTAAAGTATCTGTGAAATACCACATTCATTACAGATGTAAGACAAAATCAGGCAAATGTCTAAGAAAAGGCATGAATATATGTGAGCTGTAGACCAATTGTCCCATGAGGGATTTGCACATAAATGGGTACAGTTGCATAGTTGCTCAGACCAGCCACAGATGGTACTAAATCCAACACATGATACCTAGCATCTCACCTGGGAATACTTTCATATAGGTGCTCAAAAAGGGCTTATGTGTCCATTTGTAGCAAGTCTGCAAAGCAGGTTTTTGGGATCCCTCCTAAATTTACCGGCCTTTGGACTTTTCCTGTTCCCGTACTAGAATCACATCTGTATTGAAAGAAATATTCTATCTCAGCCAAAAAAGGGACAAATACAGAAGTTAGAGTCTCTGCAGCTTTGTTTGTTTTTTTTTCATCCTACTCAATAGTGACTTTGATAACACTGATCTTGTATATCTTGCTGCAACTGAAATCCCATCCATTTTCTAAAGGCCTATGTGCTGGCAAGATTGCTTGAACCATCTTGCTTTTAGTCACTTTACACCTTTCTGATCCAGGGGTAAGGAAACATCTTAGAGGTAGGATATATTTTCATCAGCCTCAGCAGCACATCTTACTGTGTTTCCAGGGAATATCACATCCTCAGAGGAGTGTACAAGTGTCAGACAGTAGTGCATCTGTTTCTACGTGGACCACATGGTGTTTCTTCACTTGGTCTTAATGAAGGTGCAGTTGGAAGGAAGCCAAACAGTTTATTTGACTTGTTTCTAAAATATGTCAATATCTGAGATTTGCAGAGTTCTTATTTGTAAACATCATGCAGTGGATTGGTTTCACCATTCAGTGCTTGATTTGGGAAAGTTGTTTTCTTAACCACCTGATACGTCAGCTACTATTTCTGATCGCCTCAGGGAAGTTGCTGCCTGCACAGTCTTTACTGGTATGTATACTTAACTTACCGAAACTGTGGGTTTTCCACTCACTGTAAAAACTCAAAAATTCATCTACCTTTTTCCTTTTTCAGTCAGAGACTCTCAACAAGAATGAGAAGAGTTGGAGAGCTTCATGTATACTCTTATGCCTCTGTTTGTAGCAATTGTATGTACAGTCCATGGAAAAAAACTGCTTAAAAATGTCCTGGTTTGCAAATATAAGGCTTATCTTCATCTTCTTGATGACCTTTCATTGTTCTGGTTTTTTTCTGTGTACCAATGTGACTGGAAGCCCTCTGTGGTCTTTAGATCACACTCTCTTCTGGATAGAAATGATTTCTCAAGAGAACACTGCATGAGACGTGTGCTTTAATTTTAATGTACTTTTAATATGGAAAAAAAAAAGGATTTTGTTTGAAATATCTAGCAAGCAGGTTTTTTTAGCCACATTTCCCTAAGAAAATAAGGAATATATGATTGTACAGTCTTTCTTTTCACCTTCTGATTTTTAGATGCTTCCAACCATATCTGGCAGAAGAATAATGGTTGGATCCATAATGGGGTTTCTCTCTTCTACTCAGCTGCCAGTTTTTGTGAAATTCCTAATATCCCATTGAAGGGGAAATTGAGGATAACTTTATCAGTAGCCATTATTGTTTGGAAGGGGGCAGCTGTGCAGCAGGGTACCACTACTGTCCAAATGATGGACCAAAAAAGTTTAGAGTGAGCTGGAGGTATTGTAGTAGAAAGATATAAAGAGTATAGGGGAAATTCATTAATTTTATGTGGACATTGGAAGGAATATGAGGTTGTTATTCTGAGGAAAGGTTGTAGGAGGAAAGCAAGAGATATTTAGAGAGAAAAGTAAAGTTAAGTATCAGACAGAGCTTTATTAGTGTGGCTGGTACCGAATAAATTAATTGATTTTTACACTATTTTTACAGAGATCTTTTGTCCATGGATTTACAAACATTTTAATGTCAGTATAAACTTTTTTATTCTTTTTTTTGTTTGTTTTATATATCAAAATACTGCATCCAGTACAGAACTGCAAATTTTAAATCCATCAAGGCTAGTACAACTATGGTGAAGAGCTTCAATCATTTCTCCCCATTACTCTTTTTATGTTACATTTAAAGTGATGACATTAAGCCTTGAAGGGTTTTAACTTATCAAATCGAAGTCTACACCTTTCATTAGTTTCTAATGTCAGGACCACTAACTGATCCCTGGCAGTTTTGGGGGGAAGTAGGGCAGATTAAAAGAGGTGGGACTTGAATTAAGTTGATGTTGACAAGATATTGGCACCAAAACCACCTTTCATAGTTTTAAACTAATTCACTTTTGTGGTCAAACATTTATTCAGTGGCATTTCTGACTTAGAAAAAAATATTTTAAAAATATTTTCAGAAAATTATAACAAAGTCAGAAAAGTGAGTCTTGTTTTCAAATCTTAGAATAATTTCACTTACTTGTCTTTAGAAGAATAATCCATTTGATATTTTAATATTAAAACTTTTCAGATACACGTTGTTTCAGCAAGTACTTCAAAAGAGAAATGTTCAAAAAAGCCAAATATAAAAATAAATCACATGAATTTTGTCACACAAAAAAAAATGGGATATGAAAAAATATTTACCCTTATTTTTATTCTCATATTATGTTCTGCTCTTTCCATCTTTTTACCTACCTCTGAAAAGTACATTGAGCTCTGCATTCTTCTCTTCCATGTTTCAATACAAGTTACTACTTCTGTCTTCTCACATCTTACATCATACCTGTTCAACATGATGTAGCTTTCCTTTATTCCTCATTCTCAAAATTTTTTTCTTTTGTCTTCCTTCATTGTCTTCCTAACTTATCCTTCCTTTTCTCAGCCTGGATGTTTGTTTCTTCCTCATCTGTCTCAACCACTTCATTGGGCCACCAAGAGCCTGGACATTCCCCAAAGACCTTTGTCCCATGCTAAGAGCTGTACCTAAGATACTGGTATTTTCCTGTATGTTGGTTTTAGCTGTTCTGTGAAGCAGAAAGATTACTTCAGGTCTCCACTAATCAAATGGAAAATGGATGACATGAGCAAAATGTGAAAAGCTCATTGGTAGCCTCTGGAGAAGTACTGCATTCAAAGCTGACAAATTGCAGGGGATTTAAGGAGTGCATGATAGGGCAAGCAAATGGCCTTGCTTTCAGCGAAGCTATTCATCAGAACATCTTCCTTCCTTTCAGGAAGGCAGGTTATTTAGACAATAATTATGTGCATCGTGTATTTGTGCAATTGTGCAGTGTTATTTGGTAGACAAGCAAAATGCTACTCTGAAGTAGCCAGTTAATCAAGAGTTAACCTCAGTTCTGGCATTTCTGAAGCAAGTGTCTTCATTTACTCCCCTTTCCCCTGAAACAGTATGTTAACATTTTTCATTACAGGATCATGTGTTTTATTTCACAGCATTCCTGCTCCACACAGTATCCAGAGAACAGCCAATCAATATATTATTTTATCTTTGTTCATTATGTGTGCCAATCCCTTGTTTACTGGATACTGTTCAAACTTTTTCCTGAAAACAGAATTTTGAGCAACCATCATGGGGATTTTCTCTAGTATTCAATGTTATAGAAACCGAAGGTTTAATAAACAGTGATTTAATGTCTTCTTGCAGAAGTGTTTTCTTCATGCTTTGTGGGGAAACCAAGGCATGAAAAAATTAAGCACCCAGAAATTTTGCATGCTTAGTTGAGACACACAAGATTTACAATTTAGAATATTTATCAGTCATAAATTCCTAACATGTAAGACAAAGTCCAGAAGATATTTTTATGCAATGTAGTTGGTCTTCTGAATATCAAAGATCATTGATTTCACCAGTTGTCCCTGTACTGAGCCCAGAAATTTATGGGTTTATTAAACCTGCTTTCCAGAAAGGTATCTATGTCTAATGTAAAAATTCCAAGAGGTGGAGAAACCACCATTTCCCTTTGATCATTTGTTCTAGCGATTCAAGTTGCCCTTACTCAACTAGATTAAAAATTCCTTCACATCCTGTATTTTGTCCATTTATCGAGGAACAATGAGGATCAGTAGCAACATAAAACTATTCCATTCCTGGTACTTGTTCGAAATTAGCACATGTCCTCAGGGGTTTTTATAATCTGAACAGAATAAGCTCTTTCACTACACGCCTTGTTCTCTAGTGCCTGCATTACCAGAATGGCTCTTTTCCACATCTTCTGTGACTTTTTAACATCCTTTAGTTTTCACATATGGACACACATACATATGCATTTTTATATCTTTGTTTCTCAGTGTCATATGTAAAGTAAAATCACCTTAGTTGCTTCATAGGAATACTATTTTATTGTGTATACACCCAAAAAAGTTGCATTTTCCCAGTTTTTCCACTGCATTATAATGTCATCTTGTATTGAAGTCTCAGATCTTTATCACAGTCAGTGTTTTTAGAATATAGTTGCTCTTCCTTTAAGTGTAGCCTGTATTCACTGTTCTTACACTTAGTTTTGCATTTGGTTTTATTAAAATACCCTTGATTTGAATACCCCACCAAGTGACCCAGAACATTGTTTTGTCATCATTATTTACTTACTTTGTTGTTCATGAACATTACTAGCTGGGTCTACCTGGTTCCAAATAATTGAAGGATACGTTGAGTAAGAGTATGCTGGTACTGATACCTGTGCAACCTTGTCGGTATTCTAGTATTACTCAGTGACAATTGCCTCTTGGAACATGGAGAGATTTGTGGTTTTTTAACTTTTAGCCCATTCAGAACACACTTAAGTTTCTTCTTGATGGTGCATAGTAATTTTTTTTTAATCAATGTTACATCTGACAAGTGAAAGCCTAAATAATCACTGTACGACGTCCCCTTCTAATCTCATCCAAGAAGGAAATCAGATTGTGTGGAAGACCCATTTTACTAAAAACATGTTGATTGGTAATAATTATAGTCTTTCATTAAAATCTGTATTAATTGAATCCAGTGTTTTCACTTATATGGCCCAGTTCTAGTACCACTAGTGGGGTTTTTTAATATTTTTTTTAATCTTGACACATTATTATGTGCTCTTCCAGTCTGGGAACGTCCTGGTATTTTAGCAACCCTGCAACACCTAAAGTGAAAATTGTCTGAATCTGTAAACGTAAAACTTATTCCTCCTTGATTTCTCATAAACTGAAAGTGCTTAATAATTATACATATACTGTAACTATAGCATCCTGTTTTTTCCAAATACAGACTTCTTATGTACTGAACACTCCTATTTGAGGTTTTTTTGCATTACGTTTCTGGTTTAGGTGCTCCAAACTTGGAGTGGGCTTATGCATTTACTGTTCCTCTCACAATGAGAAATCCTTTTTATCTGTAGTCCTGTCACTGATACATTTTTCATTGATTCTTTTGGCTACTCCTATCAATCGGCATAATTTCAGAACTTCTACTTTTAAGAATTTATTTCTGCTTTTTTTTCTGCTGTACTTCTGTGACATTTTGTCATAGGTTTATTTTATTTACTTTCTACATTAAAAAGGTCTACATCCACTTGGTTGTGAGGTCATTCTTTTTTATAGCCACCCATAAAGGACTCCCCAGTTTTCTGTGATATTCTTCTATCCTTTTTTTCTCCCAATTTTGATGTGCTTTAAATACTTGTTAAAGAATTTCTATGCTTATAAAGATTCTGGTTGTTTTTTCCCATGTGGAATTCAAGTGGTTTATTATCGTCCAAGTATTTATCAATCTCCAGTATAGTAATTAACATCTCTTGTGTTATAATGAGATCGTTTACCCCATGCTCATAAATAATATATGTCTATTGACAGTGTGTAATATCAGTTTATAATTGTACAAAGGACTCACAGAATATGTGTCCTAGACTGGTCTCCTATAGCATCATTTTTTTTCCTTTCTAAAGATTATAAATACATGCTGAAGAAAAACTTGTTCTGTAGTTACTAGTTAGCTGACCAGTAAGTCTTTCTTAAGTTATTTTAGTTAGCATATTGACCTCTACGTGTTCAAGAGCTGTGGTCCTGTTACTGATCACTCTAAAAGGAATAATGGCATGGGGGGGGTGAGGGGTGCTGTTGAGGCATCCTGTTCCCATTCTGTCTCTCTTATCCTTCCTGTTAATCAGGGATTTTAACATACCAGCTGTCCACCACGTTCTAGTAATATTGGTTATATAAAATTTATTCCCGTCAATGAGTTTCCTCTTGCTGCTTACCCAGATTCCTAGGATCAATACATAAACAACTGAAGAGATTCTTTTCATTATATTCTTTGCCGCATTGGTTCAGCTTGCTCGTTAGGTGCTGTATTTGAGCATGTACCTCATTTGCCTTCCAAATAATCTCCCCTTGTGTTGCTGATTTAATATCCTGGCTGCTCCAGCTAGTTTCCAACTGAGAAGATTAGCCTCCTACTTGTGTGGTGTAGGCTGTGCTGTTCATACAGTCCCTTCTTTCACTGATGTGCTGTTTCACGGTTTGAAATCAGCCTGTTTTTTCAGTCACAGATGACAGGCAGAAAATGCTCAAAATAAACTTTCTCACTTGTGATAACTGTGGATAGCCACTAATATTTTAATTTTCCTCTTAATTGTTTTCAGTGTGGTTGAAGCCTTGGGTAATTTCATCTAAGTTCTGCTGTGGAGGCATTATATAGCATTTATGTTCTGTCTCCCATTGACTCCAGTTGCAGCTCTGAGTGCAGGGTACTTTGGCAGATTAGACACAAGGGATTTATCCTGCACAGTCAGAAAATGGGTAACATACTATCAATCCCTCTGAAAACTTTCAGTTAATTCATGCTGAGTGCCGTGGCCAAAGGACAGATACATTCCATGACAGCTAAGCAGCATTCAGCTACATTAAACATGAAGCATGTTTGCTGTCTTACTGCAGTCCCATTCCAATGGCTGCAACAAAAAAAACAGGAATAGACAGCCAACAACTCTTTCACTGGGCAGGGATGATTCATGGCCAGGTATAGGTCCACTCCATGCAACAATTGGAAAGGTATCTGGAAAAACATGATAATGCAGTTAAAAGTAGCATCATGATGTGTATGCACTAGTAACCTTACATCTGGCATTTCTTAATATTTCTGTACTTGTCTTCATGACCTTATTAATATCCTGCCAAGGAAGGGCTTCACTTACCCAGATTTAGCTGCCACTTGCCAGGGCTCCACTTGTAGTCAATGCAAAGAGAGGGATATATCACCAAAAGGTAGTTTGTCTTCTCTGAAGATAAATGCAGAAGATAGGTGAAATGTTCTTTGGAAGTGCCTGGTTCACTTAAACTTGAGGTGGCTGAAGGTAGGGGAGATAAATGATATGATTTTACTGTGTGTAGTATTTGTGTGTATAATTATATACATAGATCTGTGTTGAAAGGTACGCTTACAGATGTGTCTAGGTGTGTGTGGCCTTATACACCCATATATATACAGTATTAAGATCTGGCTGTACATAATACTGTGTGTCTCCTCTACTTACAATACTTCAAAATAAATCCTAAATCAAGCCTCAGGTGTGTTAACATTGCATTTGAACTGAGCTACTGAATTTGGATCAGGGTCCCAGATCATCTCTGTAAAAGTATGTTCTACGTATGGCAGTGATAGGGAGTTCACTTGATTTGGTGAAGAACGGTTCCTTCCACTTCGAACAAGCCAAGAACTGCTCAGGGTGTGGATATGAAATGGGCTTCTGTTAGAAGCTTGGTAAGGCATTGAGAGTGAGAGGTTATATGACTTCTGTCCTTTATTCCTTACAATGAAAGAAGGTGAAGATGCGTTCCCTGGAAATCAAGGGATATGTTTCTTTTTTTCCTCAATCAGTTGCTAATGTTATCTACTTTTTTAGATATGTGATAGGAGATCAGGCTAACTTGACACAGATTCCCTGGCGTTGTCCTTCCGTTTCCAGTCAGTAAAAATATTAAGCCATTACTTACCTTCTTAACAAAATGTTCTTCATAAAATTAAATTCCTAAAATGCATGTCAGCATGGATTTTTCTAATCAATATTCTTGATTTAGTCTTTGTTCCTTTGAAGTGTCACTTACTTTCTTCCTGTGGCATAATAACTGCGAAATTATACTGAAGGAAGGATTATAAATGGTTGGTGTAAATTATTGTAATTTTTACAAACTTTTGGAAAGTTCTATTTTGTTACTGTAATAATTTGGTTCAGTGGAGTAATAATGAAATAGCAAGATACTTTCGTTATCAAATATATTTTGAATTTGTCAATCAATATTTACTTACTGTGGGCTTTTTACTGTGGAGTTTATTGTAGATACCAGCAGTTAGCTTCAGTGTTTGTAGCAACAGGTATTTCAACCTAAATGCTAGAATTACAAAAACGATGATGATATTTATAGCTACTAGAAAGTAAACACTCCTTACCATAGTTCTCCAAAATATAATATAAGGAGAGTTACAAAAAATCCTTTAAAATAATATATCTATAAAATAAAGATTTTTGAAGACAGTAGGACAAGCAAAGAGGTTAGCTAGTAACTCTGTCATAGAAGTAGTTACCTAGAGTTGAAAAGCCATTGTTGATTACAGACTCTGACCTAGCAGTTTATCTAAGAGAGAGATTAATTTTGTTTTGTATAAAAGGACTTGTTTTCAGAGAAACTGGCATTCTATCTGCAGTGTAGTTGATGTTAAAAATGAGACTTTTTGTGTAAGGCTATGTACCACCTAGATGCTGGATAAAGTTCTCAGAATTTTTCAGAATACCACAGTGCAGTAAAGTAAAAAGGAAGCTAAGTTTCATAATACATTGTATTTTAAATTTGTGTCACACTGTGAGGCCTCAGCAGACAGTCTGAGTATTAAATAATGCTTCTTTGACTGTAGAAGTATCATTTTCTTGAAGCCTGAAAATTTAATTCACCTTTGTAGGAAATAAGAAGTTTATTAATTCTTGCCAACAGTAACAACTTATTAGTGACTAGACCAGAAAGAAACCTCTCGCCCCTTCTGAACTTACTGTGACAACTTATGTTGACATCAGTGGAAACAGCTTTGAATTCTGAGTATTTAAGTCCAGTGAACTGCAAATATTCCTATGACACAATTTTGACAGTTGCAGCTCATCATTAATTGTTTACATTTTATAAATTATCACTAACTCTTTTCTAGAGATTTTATTTGATATTTCAAAAAAAAACCCATGTCCTATTGATGGCATCTTCTTTCAGCTACTGCTGATATGTCCCTAAGAGCTAGTATGAATTAGCACTTTCTTTTCCCTCCAGAGGTGCAGCACAACTGGATTTCTGTCTTTGAGAAATGGTAGGACTTCAGTGTATCTTCATAGATCATGAACTGAGACTGTTCACCAGCTTCACTGAAAAACAGTATCTTTTGGGTCTGAACTTGAAAATTCCTTAATTTTGTGAGTCCACTCTTTTGAACTATATGATTTTAGTAATGAGTTATTTATTTTGTTAACTCTGATACTTCAATTAAACTTAGGGTATATCTTATGTAGAAAACAAATTTTACCAGCTGAAGGATTCTGGGCCAAAGAGCAAAGCAATATTGGTATAAATGAAACAGTGATAGTTTGTAGGCTTCAATATAAAAATCCAAATTTGGTCATTATGGACTTCATTATGGAATACAGAAAAGAATGGGATTTGAGGGAAAAAGTCTTGATTTCTTAATATTTAACTTGTAGTCTCAACAGTTTTTCCTGCTGCTTTGGCCTCTAGCAGTAGTAGTGGTGGATATTAAGATAGCAGTCCATTTTCACCCAAGGCTGTTGATAATTTAGTCATCCGAAACAGTTTCTTCTAAACAGTGTCTCGAGGATGCAGTTCCTCCCTCCAAGGGGAGTGGTCTTTTGTTAGATTGTGTAAATCAGGAAACTCATTCATTACCACTGCGTTTCTAATTCGTGCCTTAACCTGCAGAACCAGGAATTGCATGACTCTTTTCCTGCATACAGCATACATGAGAAGCCACTGTTCCTGCGTTTGCTTTAGTTTCTGGGGGGAATTGAATGAAAGTAGATTCAAATCAGCAGGGGATTTGTTTGTCAAATTTTGCAAATCAGGCTGCAGAAAATGGAGTTTTACAAGCCCCATTCAGCAGTCCAAGATATCAGACTCGCTTCAGTTTTCAATATAACATTCATACCAACTCTTTCAATCTTAATTTTGATTGATTACTTACCAGCAGAAGTTTATACTGAAATCTTTCCTTTGTCCTCTTTATCCGTTGCTCACCTTTTCATTCTTTCCATGTCAATTATTAACACTGTGACGTTACTTGTTACTGCAGTAACTTTGTTTCAATGCAGCTGTTGCCAGGTGAATTTTCTAGAGGGCTTGATTGTCACATTTACAAAGATTTTATGAGATAATAGAAAAGTTTTGTTTTGGACAGCAGTCTTCAACTTTACATTCTTGGGCAACTGGCCTGTGCTGTCCCTAAATGTTTTATTTGAAAAAAATTACAAAGGAAAATGCATTGTGTTTTGGCTCCAGTTTATGTATGGTAGGTTTTATCAGCAAGGTAGGTACCAAGACATTGATATATATTGGATTAAGTTCACTGGAACAATTTGCTGTGGCCCTGGTGCAGAGGAGGTTCACAAGGAGCTCAGCAGACAGAATGTGTTTGATTCGTTTATTAATTCAGATCTTCCTAGGTCTGTTTTTCAGCTTGGAGGTGTTACTCCATTTAAGTGGTGAGTCTGAGTCTGTCAAAGCTATGTGTTGCCAGGCTGTGACTGTTGCAAGACATGGGACCAAAGTCCAGGTGCTTTCAGCTGCCTGTCAGCATGCCAGTGGCCATGCAGTACACGCCCTCGGGTGCTTTTCTGCTCTTAGAGTAGAGGCTGGTGGTTAATGCTGCAGAGATACACTTCCAGTTGTGACCAGCTCACAAGCTTGAACCGGCCATGCCAACTGCAGGATTTTGGCAGCAGAGGCTCTTGCTGCATACATGCAGTTTGAAATTTTCCTACAGTATGTCTTGGCCAAGGTGAAACAACATTTACCATTGTTTTCTTCTTCAAGACTTCAAGTTCCTGCTTGCTTTGGGATAGTTTCTGCTATGGAGATCCATGCAGAACACCAGCTCTGAAAATTTCCCAATTCTATCCTAGATTTAGTTAGCATCTGTCTACATTGGATAGAAACCTTTCTTCAGATCTCTCCCTAAGGCAGAATAGCCCTGTACTGTCCATTGCTCCTCACTGGCAGAGTCTAAATTTTAACTTTGCTTTGGTAGGCTAAAGCAGAGTGAGACCAAAACTAAACCATTTTCCCCCTGTCCCCAATCCCCCCCCGCTGACTCATTCATGGATGACAAACAAAAGGCAAAGAGCCAAGTTTTGCCTTCTGGGGGTAAACCCACTGTAATGGCCTGAAAGCACTGCAAGGGTAGAGAGAAGCAGCTGGAGAAATAAGGAGAGAATGAAAGCAAATGAAAAGCCGTTGCTTAAAGCCATTCCTTCTCTTTTCGTTTTCTCACCATTTCTAGCATTCTTCCAAAAGTAGAAAACTGCCAAGTAGGCTCAAGTACTCTGTTTCTTTCATAGAGTGTAGTGGATTCCTGTCAATAGATAGAACGATGTGTGTACAAGGATCCATGTCAATTTTCTCTCTATAATGACATGGTTTTTTTCTTTTGAATCTGAAGTGGAAACAGAGAAGTACATTGTTTTGCTTTATTTCAAAACAAAAAATAATGCATTCTGCAGTATATCTTTCTTAAAACATAACTACCATGTATATTTTTACCCAGCCCTGTTATTGAAACTTTTTGGCTAGTTGATTTCTTCACACGTCCCTTAGAATATTGGTAGCTCCTGTTAATTGCCCCAGTGCCTACTGATGAGCCCAGAACTGATTGTCAAGCTTCCTTACTTAAAGCTCAGAGAACAAGCTGCTTATGATGACCCAACAGAGACGTAAGGGAGGTCTGTGAAAGGGAAAGTATTCAACCAGCCTTAATCCTTGCTTTCAGTAAGGCAGTGTCTTTAAGTGCAGACTAATTAGTGAATAGACATGATTGTATATTCTTGTAGACATGTCTTTTGTTGGCTTGAGGTGAACTGAGCAGCTAATAGAAATGGTTTAAAATCTCTGCTTTGCTTTTTTTCAATGCATTTAGTAGGGTATGGAGATGAGAAAATATAAATCAAAGCAGGAGCAAAAGTAAGTATAAACTATCTTACTACCTATGTTGGTATATTCCATTTAGATATTGTATCCATTTAGATACTAGGACTTAGGCTTGTGAATCCCATGCCTGTGCTTCTTAAAGAACTATTCATTTTATAACCTTTGATGTATATCAATACTAAAAAGCATGTTGGGTTTTTTTACTGTTACAGTAATGTATTATGCAAGCATTACTTTGCATTTAAGCAGTGTGTTAAAGTCATCAATCATAAAGTGATTGATAAAGATAAACATAGTTCCCCCATTTTAGCAGTAGAGAAACTTAATTCTAAGTAGTAAAGTGAATTTCCTTAAGAATTCATTATGCACCTGAGACTAGAATCTAACTCTCTAGAGGGATGGTCCCCCTCTTTAATAATTTCTTTATTATATATTGTATAACAAAATTTCCCAACAGGTAGGAATAGCAATCTGCACACTCCAAAATATTTATGGTAAAATTGAATACAAGGAGAGGCATATTGGAAACCGAGTGAATGACGAATAACAACTAATCATAGTCACCTGAAAGAGAAAGCATTTCTTAAAGATCAGCAAGACATAAAAAATAAAGGGGATTAAAAAAAAATTATGAAAGTTGTGGGGTGTTTTTTCTGGTTGTGTTTCCCCTATTATTTGCATATTGCATGACCTTGACACAATGCAGATAGGAAGGAGACGTAGCAACTTACTGTTCTACTCATTTTCTAAAATCAACCATAAATTCCAGTGATATTCAATAACAGTACCTTGGTTATTGAAACTCATAACTGCTGCCTTTATCACCTGTATTATCCATAGGACATAATTACTGCAAAGCAGCTGGCTGTTGATTTTAGAGAGCATCAATTGTTCTCCTCTCCCAGCTGTTGGCTAATAAGGATAGTCAACACATCTGTTTCAACAGCTGGTAATTAACAAAAGCCTAATTGCTGCAACTCTTTTAACAACAAATCTATGAAAGAGTAGGGATGTGGAGGAATATTATTTACTCTGTTCTCTGCACTTTCTATGACCAGTTTCTTTTTTCTTTTTCTACTTTGAACACCACTGCCTTTGTCTGACACATTGAATGGCAGGACAACACAATATGGTAATCCAGAGCTTAAGTTTTTCAGATCTTTGTTGGTGTTTCTTATTGCAACATTTCTTTGCTAAGTTGCAAGATAAAATGGATCAAAAGCATTTTGTGGAGTTTCATACAACAGCTACAATCCACAGCAGTATGCTTACGCAATAGGGCTGCCAATCCAGCAGCCTCCGAAAGAAAGGAATGGGTTTCCCTGTTTGTGTATGAGTTTAATAGCCCTGCACCCCTTCCCCAAAAAAGTGTCATTATTCTAAAACTGGTGGTTATTTGAAGAATTTTCTTAATATTCTTCAGATGCTTTGCAAAATTTGTTGCAGACTTTTTTTTTTCCTTCCCTCAGATGAAACCCCCATATGTTGGTCAGTTTAAAAGTAAATGCCCTGCACAAATATCTCACCATTTTATCATTACAGAATTGGAGAGGGTTTTGCACAATGCTTGACTAAATATCTACATTTATAGTATCAGTCAACAAACACAAATTCAAAGACATTTCTCTTAGACTTATCCTTGGGTATAGCACACATATAATTGGAATACTCGTCACTAAATAGAGAGAATGCATGTATACAAATACAGGGAAATGTTAATCCCATTGAAGTCAACAGTGAACTTCTGTTGGCTTCAATGGATCAGGATTTTCCCTGCAAAACCAAATTTTCTTAAAAGCTGGAGACAAATTTGGCATTCATTGTGTTACCCATGAAAAGAGAGTATTCAAGCATTAATGGAACTATTGGCTGAAGTATTGTGCAAGTCAGGCATGTATTACAGACTGTGTGAATGAATGAGTCAATAAAAATTTCTAAGAAATAGCATTTAAAGTGGTATTTTGAAGTGATAAACTGATGATGAAAATTGTGATTCTTTGCTAAAAGTTGGTCAAGATCACTTAATTGAACTTGTCTTACTAACATTTCAGTTGGCAGATATTTCTGTACACTGAGTTCTTAATTATCTGCTGGGTATGTTGAAAAGTGTAAGAAATTCCGTCCAAGTGCTTGCCATTGACAGAATACAGATTGCATAATTAAAATATCCTGACAAGATAAGTTTAGTTCAACAGGTGTTCAAATGGAGAAATGTGTAACAGGTGCAGTGAAAAAGTAGAAGATATGCTTTGAACAAATAATAACAAAAGCATTGCCTAAAATTCTAACTGTAAGATAGGGACATAGAGAAGTGTTTGCTGTCTGGGTTTATCAGGAAGATTTTTTGTACATACAACAATCTTTGTTGATCAAGATGGTTTCTTTTGTCTTGCACAGGTAAGAAGAAAGAAATACACCTTTTGTATTTGATTACACTGTGGAAAATTGCTGGAGCATTTGATAGTTGACAAAAATGTTTATCTTTTCATTGAATTATGTTATTTCATTTCACTAGTTATGATTTTTAAGAAAAGGACCATGGGTAACATATCACTGTTCTCATTCACTTCCCTTCGTCTTGAGATTACAAGAATTATCAGATATGCAGGAATTAGCTTTTTTTTCCAGTTGAAGTGGAGTTGAGTCTGAGTGAGTTGCAACAGAAATTTAGGCAAATAAGCACCAAAACATAGGTAGGAACTGGAAAGAATGCTTTTGCCCAGTGCAAGGTTCTAATAGAATCAAATTGAACAATATGTGCAACAGAGAGTAATATGATTGCCTCATAAAAAAATTTAGTAAATAGATTTTTAGCAGAAATGACCAGAAACTTCAATATCAGAACATATCTTTGATTTCTGAGTGAAGGCAACTGACCTATATCAACAGATCTCATCCAACAGTATAGCATCCATAATAATCCATGGATGCATCCATCCCCTACTGATTCCATAGAAAGATGCCCTCTATCAGACAGATGGTTCCTATAAAGACTTAAATGTATGTTCTCATGAACATCTGTATTTGCTTTTCTTACTTTAATTTTAAATCCTTACTCTGAGTTCTACTTGGGTGAAAAACATTGCAGTAAGATTGTGGAGAAAGCAAT